AATTCTGTCCAATTCAGGAAATTACATGTAATTCTCTAGGAATTAAAAAGATCAAGTTGAGTTGGTAAAGTACTAGTGCAGTGTTTCACAGGTTCCAGTTCTGCTTGTGTCAGTCTCCTTGTTTTACTCATAAATATTGATACATTTATTGATATTATTGACAGGTGGGAGCAGCCAGCACAGCTTCTTACTCCCTGGGTCAAGCTGGACGACCTCGCACTGCAACAGTGGCTGGACAAATGGACGGTGGCCGTGACTAGACTGAGGCAGTTGGGCGTCTAGTGGCTCATGTCGGTACCAGACTATGTCAGTACTACAATGGTACCCTAAAACTCCTTATAATGTTAACATGTGTTTTTATATTAGTTGCTCATGCAAATCAGGCTCCTCTGGACTGTGTATGTTAGGAGATGATCTGGTACACGGTATCCTGTGGAGACATGTGTATAATAGGGAACAACAAATTGTACATTTATGGGCTCCGTGCACTAACATGCATCAATGGCCAGAAAAGGAGAGTTGGGGGTGACCTAGACTGGTTCCTGATCCATCCACAGTGTATTGTGAATGTATCCAAGGTTACTGGAGACCGGGATTAGTCTTGTAGACCATCACAAGTTAAATTCAACATGTCCTCGCTCCAACGATAAATAAAGTTGATATCTAACAGTTAGGCGAGGCTGATATAGAACACCATTTGATTTTGAAAAGGGGTTGGTAGACTGTTGGCTGTGTGTATGCTACATTGTAATTTTCGTCTGAACCAGACTACGGTTGAACGCTGCTACATGTATAACGATCATCGCAGTATCCACAGAAATTGTTCTTAATATCGATTATCTGGTATAGCAATTTTAAGCTGCTGGTGCTCCGGTACTCACTTCTTAATAAATAGCGCCCTTCAGATCTTCACCCTGCATGCCCTGGTAGTTACTGAAAGAAGACTTTCAACACGTGCCGACTATTGAATTATGTAATTACACTGTTTTTAAGCTTACTACCTACAGCAATGGGTGGCTTTCCCCTTCTATTCCTTGGGGAAATAATAGCCACTTGTCACTCTTCTGGTGACATTTTTCAGCAACAATTTTTGGTACGTTTTGTACTCAAAAATCGGGAACCAAGGACGATGTTTGGTATGGCCAAATCTTCAGTATAGCGGTGTTCGGTATAGCGACGTTGCACTGTACTTGTAAATACATGTATATCGTGTAGCTCTGTGTACATGCATGCTGCATTTGTCATTTTCTACACTACTTGCTTGAATGTAAAACAGATGCGTATTTACAAATGCAGCATAAATTGCAAATTGATCAAGAGAAAGAGATGGATTCATATTTATTCGATGATCTGCAACCTAAGTATAGATACCTATAGCAGCAGGATAATTTTCATTTTGAAATGATTGTTGAATTCTATGTACTTTATTTACAGTTGATCATTTGGTTCGTCTTTTAGACAACATTTAAAGCTATAGTCCATCATTTGTAATTAGTGCATTTTGTTCGTTTGAAACAACAAAAGTATTCAAAATCTAATGAAGGATACTGAACAACTTACTTGATGAAGTTTCAGCTCAGCTTCAGCTTCATATTCCGAGAAAAACAGCATTCTAGGATCTCAATTTAAAATCAAAAGTTGCTAAATCATGTTTCGAATTGTTTTGAATTGCAGCTTTACGCGATGTTGCACACTGATCCGACAAATTATAGCAACCGCGCGCGCCTGTGCGTCGTTCCAATGCATGTGCGCGCTGCGCCGAATAACAAAACGAACAACTAATTAAAATTTTCCTACGGTGCTTCTTAAGAAGCACCGTTGAAAATACCTTCTTTCGTTGATTTCTTCAAAATGAGAGCTTGCCAGAAAAGATAATTTCACAGGGAGTTTAGTTCCCTTACTATCTTTCAACCAGTATGTTTTTCAACAATAATTACGCCAGTTACTTTTTCAGATAGCTGCAAATGATGGACTCGGGCTTTAACAGAGAGTGAACGGTTTAGCTTTGTTACAACTGATGATGTAACAACCATTCACCACGGATCACCAACCGATAATGTTACAATTATTTATACTGTATCACTAATAGATAATGTAACAAAAATTGACCAATAGGGTATTGACATTTACATGTATTACACTGTCAGTCAATTTTTGTTACATTTTCGGTTAGTGATATCAGTCAATTTCTGTTACATTATCGGTTAGTGATACACTATCAGTCAATTTTTGTTACATTATCGGTTAGTGATACACTATCAGTCAATTTTTGTTACATTATCGGTTAGTAATACACTGTCCGTCAATTTCTGTCACATTATAGGTTATTGATACACTATCAGTCGATTTCTTTTACAATATCGATTATTGATAAACTATCATTCAATTTCTGTTACATTATAGGTTAATGATACACTATCGGTCAATTTCTGTTACAGTATCGGTTATTGATACATTATCATTCAATTTCTGTTACATTATCGGTTATTGATACACTATAATTCAATTTCTGTTACATTATCGGTTATTGATACACTATCAGTCAATTTCTGTTACATTATCGGTTATTGATACACTATCAGCCAATTTCTGTTACGTTATCGGTTAATGATACACTAGAAGTCAATTTCTGTTACATTATCGGTAAGTGATACACTATCAGCCAATTTCCGTTACATTATCGGTTATCGATACACTAGAAGTCAATTTCTGTTACATGTATATCATCGGTTAGTGATACACCATCAGTCAATTTCTGTTATATTATCGGTTAGTGACACAGTATTGGTTAATTTGTGGGACATTATCAGTTGGTAATACGTTATCCGTTGGTTACTACATTATCAGGTGTAGTAAGCTTTCTGTATTTGTTATTTGAGGCTGTGAGTTGCAGATATTTTATTGTATTTAACAATATGATGAGATGTTATGAAATAAAAGAGAAACAAATTAAAAAGCAACAAATTGAAGTAACGTCATGATGAAGTTTTTATTCTGTAATTTTTTTCTGCGTTCGTGAATCCTTTATATGCTTTTGACTTGAATGTTGTATAAATAATAGTGTAGTAAATGTTATTACACTATTGGTCAATTATTTATTACATTATAGGTCGTAACCGATAATGTAACAGAAAGTGACCGATAGTGTAGTAAATGCTATTACACTATTGGTCAATATTTGTTACATTAGCGGTTAGGACCGATAATGTAGTAAATGTTACTAAACTATCGGTCAACTGTTATTACATTATAGGTCGTAACCGATAATGTAACAAAAAATAACCAATAGTGCAGTAAATGTTATTACACTATTGGTCAATTGTTATTACATTATAGGTCGTAACCGATAATGTTATTACATTATAGGTGGTAACCGATAATGTAACAGAAATTGACTGATAGTGTAGTTAATGATATTACACTATTGGTCAATATTTGTTACATTATCGATTAGGACCGATAATGTAGTAACTGTAACTTAACTATCGGTCAATTGTTATTACATTATCTGCTGTAACCGATAATGTAACAAATATTAACCAATAGTGTAATAACATTTACTACACTATCGGTACTACATTATCAGTTGTAACAAGCTTTCAAATTGGTTATTTGAAGAAGAGGCTGACCGTATTGCAGATATTTAATTGTATTAAACAATACGATGAGATTTAATGAAATAAAGAAACAAATTAAAAAGCAACAAAATGAAGCAAATAATGGTGCAGTTTTCATTCTGTAATTTTATTCTGCATTCATGAATCTTTCACATGTACATACTTTGGGCTTGAATTTTGTATAAATTTGCTGCTGAGTCTAAGAAAATGTCCTTTTTGTCCCACATAACACATATTTTCTCTAATTACATGTACATAATCATTGCAAAGACTACAATGTAATAACAAGAGTTCTTGTGGGTATTCTCCTTGCAGATGCCCAACAGTAGAATAAAAATGAACACTGAAAGCCATGAATATCTTAGAGGGTTCAACTTTGGTTGACGTATGACACATCAGTGTGCACCATAGAGCTATATTAAATTACTAGAGCGCTGACTCGTGTACAAAGTGATGCCTGCTGGGCGCATCCATGTTTGTGCACAAACCTATGGAAAACTCGAAATTTTGTACGTATTTTGTACTCTATTTGCATATCTGTGTTTGTATTCCATACCAGTGCGTCACTGAAGCCGATGCGTCAAAAAACGAAACACACGATCAGCAAATGAGCAAGTCATTTTGCTCTATGCAAACAGCGCAACACATGCGCGTACTGCTGCAGCCTTGATTAATTTTTTTTTTAAACGTAACACGCGTAAGATAAGTTGTTTGCGTATCTTCTACTTGCGCGTTACATTTAGAGTACACTACACATTTCATTATGTTCTACAAACACGCACATGAATTCAAAATGTCTGCGCCCAGGACAGCTTCAAAGCGTCTCTGCCCGCAAGAATGAGGAGTTAGCGCTCTGGTAATTTAATACAGCTCCTTGGTGTGCACAAATTCTTCGACTTGCCCTACTACTACATGTACACCTTAGTTTGGACAATTGCATCCTCGTTACTGTACGCATTGTTCTGGAGTATGTAGATTTATGACTTTGTTGTCCAAAATGTGTTGAAGAATACCCATGGAATTAAACAGTACCAATTAATCTTGTGACTAGCTCTGGAACGTACAGTGAAATAAATAGAATCAAACCCATAAGTATTTCGTAAGTCTTGAAGTATTTGATAAAATTTGTCCACGACAAATTGTTTTGGGGGAATTTCAAATGTTTTTTCAATCTTTTCCTAGAGTGGTAGGCCACAGTAATTTTAAAACAGAAACGCTGGCATATAAATATTCAGGAACATGGGCCGGAAACTAAAAATAAAAGATTTGAAAGGTGAAGGAAAATCATTTAAAACTTTTATCAAGAAAAAAATGTGTGTAATTGGGTAGTTTTGATCGTGGTTTCTCTTTCGGTAGCATAGAAAGCCAACAACAGTTAAGAAATTGGGATGTGAGTGTTCCCTTGCTCTAGAAATAAGTAAGACATCCATTTTCCAAAAAAAAATTAAAATACCAAAAAACATGAAAAATGTGAGGCATTCTGGCAAAATGGGACGGAACTAGGCAGAGGTTGAAATGAGGGTTTGCAGGTATTAGGCAAGAGAAGAAAATTCTCCTTACAATACTGTTTGTTGCACTTCAATTGGATATTACGTTGACAAGTTACACGTCAAAAATGTAAAATACCGAGTGAAAGGCTGTTTAAGTTATGAAAATGAAAGAAGCCAAATGTGTTCCTCAGTTGTAGATTTTTCACCTGTGACATTGGCAAAGTACGACAGGTATGCCCCCTTCCCTCAAAATGCAGAAACCGTGGTTCATAGATGACATTACTGTGTTATGCATGGCTTGGTAGGTTCCATTGTCATTTATGGGTGAGTCTGAGCGATGAGGGTGAGTTTCTCATTCAGGCCTAGTTGTGTCTCCACGAGGTTGGACAGGTACACTACCATGAGTAGATCCTGAAAATAAAACCACAAAAAAAAACATGTTAATTCAAAGAAGTTTTAAATAATGTGAAGAGGTTTAAGCTACCATTATGGCATTTCAAATTATAAACACTCATGCTTAATTCAGCAGATGGAGGTTTCCTCACTGTACAAATTCCAGGGCTGTCCATATTTTGAATAATTTAGTATTCGATTAATCAAAACTGTGTTTGAGATTAAGATATTCAAAAATTCCAGCTGCTGCAACTGCAGAGCGCGCCAGTTAAAAGTGAAATGGAGTATTTCAAAATTTTATATCACTGTCAAGGGCTTTATCCTGCTATAAAAAGGAGAGACACAATGAACAGCTGTCGACAAAAATGTTTCCATCGAAAAAAAAAATGGCATCTGACAATAAAATGCTGCAACTTTATGATAAAGTAACATCACAGTCGTGTCTGTGTATGTCTTTTTGGTTTTCGAATATTCAAAGCGGCAAGAAGCTATTTGAATATTTGGTTGATGATTGAAATTTCAGGACAGCCCTAAAATTGTTAAAGCTTTTTCCTCTTTAACCCTTAAATTGAACACTTCTCCATGGTCTTTTCAAAGTTTAATCAAGCTTCCACGCTGTATTGCCCTCATGTCTTGCTGTGTTGCGTTGAGCACTTTTTTAAGAGTATGAGTACTTTTCCCACAAGTACAAGAATGAGTACACCTCGTGGAGGTGGGAAAACATCCATGTTTCATTATACTCAATGGGTATTCTTTAGTTCGTAGAACAGTTAATGACTTTTATCTGAATTGTTGTGATTTTTTTATTAAAATAGACATAACTTGGGAATGGGGTTTGCAAATTATGTGAAATTTTCACAGAAACTACTAGTCAATAACATGTACTTTATCCGAATGTTATTTTATGAAATGAAGCGATCCACATATATTATAAAAGATTGTTTTACTAATTCGGTCAATTTTTCTTTACTCGCCCTGTATAGTGACAAACCATGTGTTTTGAGAGTGTGCAGAAATCACAGAAACACAGAACATTTCCACCAAGTTAGGTTTGAAAATACTGTACCTTCATGTTGCTGTTGATGATTCTTTCAAATTCGTCGGGATCCAGTTTGGGAACATTGGCCACCAGGTCCATCAGGAAACGGCCAACCTGGTTGTCGGCTGGGATCTTGCCACTCTGCAAAGGAAATAAGACATTCAATTGAAGCCTGCAGGGAAAACTGGGAAAATCATGGAAGCAAATGCACATTGACCACTTTTCTCTGGGAAAAACTGGGAAAATCCCGGAAAATGCAATCACTATGTGGAACAGCTCTTCATCGGGAAAACTAAATTCTGGTTCTCTCCCTCATCTAAAACCTTCTTTTTTCTTCAGTCTTTTTTGAAAATGAAAAACCCCTACACACATCTGCTAACAGTGTATTTCTCAGAGAACTAACCCTATAAACCTTTCTCAATCCTCCAAAGTCCTCCGGGCGATGTTTGGAGGATTTTGGAGGACTGAGGCTGAATACAACATAAAAGTTTGGAGGATTGTGAAGGATTAAGGGCAAATGGACATTCAGTATTGGCTGATTTTGGAGGATTGAGGATGAATGGTGTTTGAAGGGTTAAGTGGGTTAAGACATTTTTGAAGGAAATCAAACCAACATATGTGATGAGATCAAGCTAAATGAGTCGTTTGTCGGGATTTTTTTATTTGGAGATACAGGCCAAATAGAGCCACTTCATCATATCACTTCATCACATCTCTTGGTGTTCCGACTTCCATAATTTTTGAACTAAAGATGGTACCAGCATACGGTTTTCACAGCAGGAATGCTAAGATGGTGCTCTTTTCAAATCTGTAATTAAAAACATTTGACCAGGGTCGTCAAACGACTCATGTAGCTTGATCGCATCACAAATTTGGAACCAGTATCTTGTCTGAATTTTAAAAAAAAAACACGGCGAAATCCTGTTTTTGCAGGACTTACATCACAAATTACTCCATAAAATTGGTCCACTTACAACCAAATCAACAATTTGGAAAAAAAATTCAAGGTAACAATTTGAAGTGACTAGTACTTACAAAAAAAGATGTGGTTTGAAAACTGTCAATACCTTCGATTCTTCTCACAATTCTATTTTCGGGTTAGTCACTTCATCCACAAAAATTGATCCACAAACGTTCTCCCAAGTTGTAGCCTCAAATCAAACTCAAAACTTAAAGAACTAATTCCTCAGTAACACCACACAAAACAACAAAAATCTAGAGAAATTTGCAGATGAGATTGCAAGCGACTTGAGCTCTTACCACGACGTCGTCCACGTATTCCAATACGATGGCGATCATCTCTTGAAGCTTGACGCAGGATTTACTGACGTGCTGGAGATCGGTGACCGTTTCCATGGTACGACGACCCGAGGCTTGGCCTCGAATTAATGCATCCACTGTCAAATTAGAAAGAGATATATTCAAGACCAATCTTTCCTCGACACTTAAAATGCTTGGATTGACCCCTACTTTTTGAGCGTAATGCTGTTTGTCAGTCAAATAAACATCAATTCCCCAATCTCCCAATGCACAAAGTGAAGTAGTTGTTTCACATCTTCAAAGCATGTCATTGCACGTTTCCCCCATGGTCTGGCGCCACACTTGATCGAGGAGGTGTGCAATGACATCAGGGGTGATCCTGCATTCCTTCAGAAGCTTTTGGCGGCAGCACGCGCCTAATCCGCCACCGTCTCCAGCGCTGTATCAACATTCTGAAAGTGAGCATTTTTTTTCGTATGGCGTTTAAATCTCACCCTCTTGCACAAAGCTGATGAAACTCGCTCCATACAATTTGTCATGCCTTGTTTACATGATCTGAAATTTTTGTTTATACTACGCTGCATCGGGAGTCCTGTTTATTACGTCACGATTTACTATGTTTTGTTTGCTGCCCCAACGACGACTTTTACACAAATTGCACGTTCGGGTCGAAACAAGACCTGAAAAACAGCTCTCAAAAGTACCTTTTGTACTCATTTCATGACAGACACAATGGTCGTTTTTATTTCATCACACCTAAGGCTACATATACCCGGAAAATGACGGAAATGTCTTCGAGCATTCCACAACCTCTTTTTAAATTCCATTGGTAAACAACAGAGTTATTTGCGATCAAAAGTTGGACAGATTTTTGACACGTAGTTCATGTACATTGTTACATTGTAGTTATTCCACGAATGGTGTAGTGCGTCTGTGTCCAGACTTCCACGTGCCGCGAGGCCGAAGGTGGGGCACAGATGGGGCACTGCATTTTACATGTTCCACAAGCGCCAGTAGGACAAGGAATTTATCGTCAAGCAAACTTAACACACAGTAAAAATGGAACATACATGTAAACACCGTACACGAGCTTTTCAGTGGTTAGCCTATTGCACTTGCGTGCAGCGGGAATGGCGCGTGCATCTTGGAGTAGCGTGATACGCAGAGTGTGATATGGACTGTGCGACAAAAAAGCCAAGAGATAGCATATATGGTCACTTTTCATGTTTTTGGTAGATTTTCTTGGAAATACATGTTTTATAAGTGCAAACAAAATTAATTTGTAGGGCATTCCTGCAATTGTACCTTATTTGGGCAGCGCAAAATGAAATACTCATTTTAAAGGGAAGATACAACATTTGCATACATCAAAAAACGAAATGATCAAATTATCACGAAATACCTTACTGGATTGCTAGGGAATGACAGTCTAAAGCACCATGTAAAGTTGTGGCTCCTGGTGTGCTGACATTTTCAAGAAAAACTGTATTTTTCCCAACGCTGGTCGGCCGACCAGCGTTGGAGAAAACTGGCTTTTTTTTCAAAACGTGCTCCTAATTTTCATATGTAGTTCGTCTGCATTTTCTTTGCAATTGATTACACACCTGTGAAGACTACAAGCCTGCTAGACTGATTCTCTGAACGTACAATTCCCCAAAGTCTATAAATTGCTCCGTTTCGTCGTGAGTGAGGTCAGGGAACCAGACTACAAGAATATGATTGGTTTTCTTGGTTTTTCCAGCATCTACGTACCCAAAATGTGAAACAAGTCAGTGTAACAATATTTGCTTTAACATACTAATCTCCAAATCCATTCTTTTCTGAAAACTGCAGCAAAAGCAAATGTTGTTCGTTCCCTTTAATACTGATTGTGTGTATTGTTTTGTGGCGAATCGGCTTCGACAACCAATCCCTGCCCGTGTATAAACTATTTGTCCAAAACCTCTTTTAACAAGCTCTAAGAGATTGCTCAAACACTGGTGGCTTATAATGTACGATCCCACAGAATCAAAATGGAAACGGGACTCACATCCGACCCTCTCAGGTTGATGGCACACTGGCTTCATCTTGATGGGTGTAAAGACGGTCCCCTTGGACTTGTCTGGAACGCCCATGGATTGCCTGCAGGAATAAAGAACAATTCCAGATGTAAAACTCCTCGGCACCCTATTTCACGAAGTGCTGCGACACGTCGCAACCTGACTCACGACGTTTAAACGGACACTGGGTCCTGGAACAGCCCAATTCGGCTACAAAACGCGCTTTGAACAAGATGATGTTAATCAGAAATAACGTTAAATAGTAGGATATAAACATCCACACAACTATCCTTCCAAAACTGGGCGTTTTTGTGTTATTCCTGTATTATGCGTGCGAGAACGAATTTCGGGGTCCACTTTTGCGACCCCATAAATTCGAGCTGTTTGGATCCTAGCTGTGATTTCATTCGTAAAGTGTTCCCCTTTTGCGGACGTTGAAGAAACAACTTTTTTTGGCATTGGTAATTGGTCACCGCTGTTCCCGAGACACACAACGTGTATATCGCACACTGAGAACGACACAAACAACATATTCGTACTCCGTCGTTTCTGATGTAAACAAGCAGTTTTTCTTTTCTTTTCTCGGGAACGGTAAGACATTAGGTTGTTTTCCTTTCAACCAGATGTTTGAGTAAACAATCTAAGTAAACAATCCAAAACATAACATTTTCAGGGATTTCAGGACCTAGTACCCCTTTAACACGTCATAATTCACGACGCGTCGTATGATCCATTTCACGAAACTTGCGATGTGTTGAACGCATCGTATTAAAGTTCCTTGTCAACGGCTTAAAACACGTCGCAAGTTACAACGTGTCTAGTGGTCATCGCAAAATTAGAAGGGGCCCATTTCTTAGCCAGTTTTATGCCATAAACATTACATAAACAAGATTATAATACCGAGACAATGTGTGTAAAGTTGTAAATAAAAAATGCATGGAATAATTATGAATTAGACCGGAATATTGCAGTTGAAAATTTCAAAGTAGCTATACAGCCCACTGAGAGCTTGTTTTCTGTTAAAATTGCATCACACGTCCATTATTTTGTTTCACGTTTTCAAAATTTTTCTAGAGGAGATCGGATGACTCTTTGTTGAATATCAGACGACTATTTACTGTACACTGAATAAATACATAAAACAGTCACCAAGCTGTGCTATAAATACATCTACACCTAATCGCACTTAAGACGTGTTTTGTGAAATGGATCGCAGGACGTGTCGTAGCTGTGACGCATCGTAGAGATACGACGCGTCGCAGTGCTGCGATGCATCGTGCGTTACGATGAGTTTCATGAAATCGGCCCCAGGCCTTTTTGCTAGGACGCAACCTTAATCCAAAAAAATCCTCCAACTGCCTTCATGCAAAAATCGCTTACAGCCTCAATCCTCCAAAATCATCCGTTATTTCTTGAAGGTGGTCCTTGGAGGGGTGACCACTGCCGCAATCCTGCAAAATCCTCCAGCAATCACTGTCAATATGTTGAGGCAGAGCCAGTGACATCCTGGAGCAGTGTGGAGGATTTCAAGCATAATCTAGGCCAAAATGTATGCACAGCTGAGCATAAACAACACAAGGTCCGGCCCAGTGCATCCTCCAAAATCAGCCACACATTGTTGCCATACAGCTTCAAAATCCTCCATTTTGGAAAGAGGATTTGGAAGGATTTGGGAAGGTTAGGGTTAAGGCCAAAATAAAGGGTAGATCGGGATAATTCAAACATTTGCAATATAGTTTGCACAAATATATTGTCAAAATGATGCATTAACCCTAACTCCCTAGGCTTTTTTGCTAGGATGTAGCCTCAATCCTGCAAAATCCTCCAATTGGCCTCATGGAAAAATAGCATATAGCCTCAATCCTGCAAATTCCTCTGATGTTTCTTGAATATGGTCCACGGAGGGGTGACCACTGCCTGAATCCTGCAAAATCCTCCGGCTATGACTGTCAATAGGCTGAGGCAGAGGCAGTGACATCCTGGAGCAGTGCGGAGGATGTATAATCAAGGACTAAATTTATGCACGGCTGAGCATAAACAACACAAGGTCCGGCCCAAGACCTTGACACAGTGCATACTCCGAAATCAGCAACGCACTTTTGCCATGTAACCTCAATCCTGCAAATTCCTCCAATTTGCAAAAAGGATTTTGAAGGATTCAGGGCGGTTAGGGTTATAAACTCGTTTACCTTATCCAGACTTTGATGGACATCTTGAAGTCGGTCAGGGTGGTGTCTATAGTCAGATGGACTGGGTTGACGCATTCCCGGGAGTAGTACTCATGGATCAGCAGGGAGTGGTCAGTGATGTCTGGACCTGTCGCGTACCTGCGTGGAGAGCAGAATTCAATTTTTTCATATCACGATTCTGGTTCTGATATAGCGCTTTTAAAGATCAAAGCGCTTTACATCATTATTACCCCTGTTCATTGGGCCAATTAACCCTACCCCACACGGGGTATTTTCTAGGCATCCTACAAATGCAACAGAATGCAGTAAACAAATACATGTCAGCCTAGGTACCAAGTACTGGTACCTACCCTGCCAAATGCAACAGAATGCAGGGAACTAATACATGCCAGCCTAGGTACCAAGTAGTGGTACCTACCCTGCCAAATGCAACGGAATGCAGTGAACTATTAATACATGTCAGCCTAGGTACCAAGTACTTGTACCTACACATGTACCCTGCCAAATGCAACGGAATGCAGTGAACTAATACATGTCAGCCTAGGTACCAAGTATTGGTACCTACCCTGCCAAATGCAACGGAATGCAGTGAACTAATACATGTCAGCCTAGGTACCAAGTATTGGTACCTACCCTGCCAAATGCAACGGAATGCAGTGAACTAATACATGTCAGACTAGGTACCAAGTACTTGTACCTACACATGTACCCTGCCAAATGCAACGGAATGTAGTGAACTAATACATGTCAGCCTAGGTACCAAGTATTGGTACCTACCCTGCCAAATGCAACGGAATGCAGTGAACTAATACATGTCAGCCTAGGTACCAAGAACCTACCCTGCCAAATGCAACGGAATGCAGGAATGGAATGGATCAGGGGTGGAATGCATCAGATCTGGACTCTGCTAAATGCAACAACTTGCAACAACTTGCAACAACTTTTTACCACTAGTGGATTCCGCCCCCCTAAGATCTCGGCAATTTCGAGTGACAATTTTTTTTTTAAAATCAGTACATGCATAGAGCAACTCTTCCTATACACACCCAAGAAATTTCATGACTATAGGTCAAAGGATTTTGGAATTATGGCTAATTAATCATTCATATGTACGAATGGCAATTCTGCTCTGTGTACACGACGTCGTGAAAATTCATTTTACATGGCGCGTAGCGCCAGAAAATTTTTCGCTAAGCGGCAACCCGTGGTCCGATTTTTATGTTTTTGGTATCAAAAGATGCGCAAAGCTCGAAGCTAAAAAGTCATAACAGCTCGGGTCGCGAAAAAATTTATTTTTAGAGGCTATCGCGGAAAATGTTGAGGGGGGCGGATTCCGCCCTCCCCCCGGCCCTTTTAGGGTTAATGCTAACCACAGAATGTTGTGCTATTTCGTCTCTATTCTGTGCTTACAGGGCTAGCAGAAACAGTCTGCACTAAACCCTGCTAAGAACAGAATTCTTGATTACAGGATGTGCGCATGCACACAAGCCAAACTTCCTCGCTAACCCGTGAAATACGCTAACTGCATGTTGCAAAATATTCTGCTCAAGTTAACAGGGAATTTGTGTTTAACCAGTTTGCGCCGGGACTATTTTGGTAAGAACGTAACGAGGCGCGGGATTAATTTTCACTCGACTTCAAGCCAGGCGGGTTGAAGCCATCACCCTTGAAACAGCACAGTCATATTTCCGGCCTCGCTCGCTGCGAGCGGGTCGCAGACAGGTATTTCCGGCCTCGCTCCCTGCGTGTTTATCTGCCATCCGTTCCAAATACCGCAAAACTTTTGCGTGCTCTGGCGCAAACTGGTTAACCCTTTCATGCCCACATTGTTTATTGACTAGGCTCTCCCCAGGACCAAATTGTTTGCTCAGTCATGCAGAAATCACTAGAGCGTGAACAAAATGAGCACGAGTCAAAAACTCACTTTTTTCAACCCAGATTTTCACTGCCAAGGAGGAATTAAAATCATAGGTGTTGTGTATAAAGTTTGTTCCTTGAACCATACTCTTTTATGTGATGTAAAAATGAAGTCCATACGTGCAAATATAAGAAAGTTATGCCTTTTTATTCATCTGGTCCCAATTATCAAACTGCAAGCCATTTCACCACATGACCGAATGGCACTCCATACCTCAAATTGTGCGTGGATACTTCTGAAGCACTTTTCTCATTTTTTTGTAATGGTAACACTATGAATAAACCACACCAATAGAAAGATCCGAAAACACTCTTTTAGCTGGTATATAGTTGATGTATGGGCGGCCAAACATATCAACATGCTGCCTTTCTGAAAAGTAGTGAATATATCTGTGCTGAGGGTGTTTTGTGTGTGGTTTCCTGGTCGACTAAAGTCGCCCATGGGAACCAGCAGGGAGGTACTTGTTGTCGACAAAAGTCGCCCATGGTAAGGAAAGGGTTAATGGTAAGCAGAGCTACACAATCGAGACCCGGTCTGTGATAATTACCAGCCTACGATGACCTCATTGGCGTTCACTTTCTTCTGTAGATCGTACATGTTCTTAGCAAACTCCATATCCACTGCCACCTGAAACCAAATCATGATGAACATTTGGAGTTTTAGTGAGGGATTACATGCTTGGCAGGTTTTAAACAAATATGTTTACAACCACTGGAGGGCCTGGACGCTTTGGCTGGGGACATTATCCAATTTTAAACGTAATTGTTTAACACCGTTATAAGATGGTTTAACACCGGCCAAGCACATATTTATTCCCAATCATACAGTGGAACGTCGCTACACCGAACACCGCTATACCGAACATTCAGCGATATACCGAACATCGTCCTTGGTTCCCAATATTTTTTTGTACAAAATTTTGTACTGTTGTTGAAAAATTTGAACAGAAGAGCGACAAGTGACAATTATTTGCCCAAGGAATGGGAGGTAAAAGACACCTGTGTTATTTATTGAAAAGTGAGCACCGGCAGCTTGACTGCTATTAACTCTTTCGCTACGGCAAGCCGCTGGCAGCGGCTCGGTTGCGTCGCGATGAATAAACAGGGTATCCCCATGACGTGTGCCTTATCTACATAATTTATATCGTATAACCTCTGACCCTAGTTTGAGCCGCTGCCAGCGGCTCTCCGTCTGGCTGGGGTGCGCTTTTTGTTATTGTGAGCAGTTTGTTTACGGAGATACATTTAAAGATGGCGGCGCCCACATCGACGCTCGGCGGAGTTTCCAGCGATTCATTACGTCCAGTTGGGACAAAAAAGGTAAATTAAATTCCGTAGCGAAAGAGTTAAGAACGTTTTCTGTGGATCCTGTGATGTTGTTATGGCGGCATTCAACTGTATTCCTTTTGATCAAAAAGTCAAAAAAAGTCAAAAACATTTCCAAGGATTTTTTCAACAATTTTACTTCATGTAAAATCAATGCTTATGGTATGTGCCTCTCCCAAGTAGTACTAAAAATCTCCTTATTGGCGCACGCTTGGCGCATACTGCGCGATGTGCCGTAGAACAGGGCGCTGCCGGTGTAGTGTGAATTTGGGACTCTATGAAATACGGACTCGTTGGTAATATTTTACCCGTGCCTATTGAAAACTGTGAACGTTCAACCAATAAAAGGGTAAAAGGGACCAGATTTCATAGGAGTCCAAATTGTATGTGAAAGCGGGAAAAGTGTTTGAAGACCAGCCAGCTGGTATTTTTATCAACTGTTTAAGACCGGTCACGTGACAGGCTCTCGACGAATAGGAATGGGTAATCTGTCTCAGGTAGAATACAGGGCGAGTAAAAAAAAACGAAACCCATGTGAAGTTTTGCATTCTGTAGCCCTTTCGAAATTCAGGATATGAAAGCCCAATTCATGAGCTTTCTTTTTAGTACACTGTACAAGAATCACTCAAATCACTCAAGTACTTTTCAAGTTACAGAATTTCGAACACAACCATGAATCACAAAAAAAGTGTGCATTCTTTCAGCAAAAATGGCAAAATGAAAAACAATTCACACACATCCCTATGTGATTTGTTATTTCGTTTTGCTGAAAGAACACTTGCCCTTTTGTGATCCGTGGATCGAACTTTAAAACAGTGGTTGTGTTTAAAATTCTGTAACTTGAAAAGTACATGAGTGATTTGAGTGATTCTTGTAATAAAAGAATGCTTATGAGTTTGACTTTTGTATCCTAGCATGCCTAGAGTTTGAAAGTTTTACATGAATAACTTCACTAAAACAATGGTCTGACATTTGGGTTTTGGGTTTTTTTTTTACTAACCCTGTATCAATGATAACCTACATACCTCGTCTTCCGACTCATTGTGGGGAACACAGAAGCAGTTTGTGATTTCTACAACTCCCTGAATGTTGGTACCTGCAACAGAGTAGAGAGGCAACTGAAAACACATGAGGCTAAAAAAAATATTAACGTTAGGGAACACTCAGCAAATTTTATGCCCAATTTTGGGACGCCACCATTTTCGAATTTTGGACTCAATTTCATGACACTGAAATTGTTTAAAAACATTCAACAGCAAGCATTTTGAAGGTAACAGTAGAGGTATTTAAAGGGAATGTACATCATTGGCTTTTGCTGTAATTTTTAGAAATGAACTATTGGAGGGGTTAGTATAATAGATCAAATATTGTTACACTGACTTGTTTGAAATGTTGTGTTCGAAAATGCTGGAAAAACCAAGAAAAACAAAAATGTTTAAGCAGTCTGGTTCCCTGACTGCCTCAAGATGAAATAGATCAATATTCATAGGTGGCTTAAAAATTGTAAGGTAAGGGAACCAGTCTAGCCTACCTGCACCCGTTCATAAACATCTAACCAATGGCAAACAAAATTTGGACTGAAAAAATTGTAAATTTGGATCAGTAGTTGAAAAATAGTCAGGTTTGGGTTTTTCCAACGGTGGTCGGCCGACCACCGTTGGAAATGTATACGAAAAACCATTTTCTTGAAAATGACTTCACACCAGGTGCCATAATTTTACAGAATGCTTTCCACTGTCATTTATCAACATCCTAATAAAGTTTTTCATAAAAACTTGGTAGTTTTATTTTTCGATGTTTGCAAATGTTGTATATATTCCCTTTAACTGAACGAATTTGAAGTTTGTCAACAAAAAAGTTTGGTGTGTATGCTTCTAAAGCGTAAATAAATTACAAATATAGTCTAAATGTGAACAATCAATTTTAACCAAGATCTACATGTACATGTACATTTTGGGGTACAAGGTACATTTTGCACATGTTCCAAGTGTGGCCCTAATTTACGGAGGTAGTCCTGTATAAAAATTGGCCACATTTTTTTGTGGGGCTATTAAATGTTCATATGAAATTATTATTGGTTCCCTATATAGTGGTGTTCCCTAACGTGGCGCACTTTGACATTTACCCCAACTTTCCACATCAGTGTTGCCAAACTTCTTTGCTGACATGCAGTGAAATACTGGTACATTTACCTTATTAATGCTTGCTATTTAACCTCTGTGAACAATTTCGATTTCATGAAATTTAATCTGAAATTCAAAAACGGTGGTGTCCGGAAATTGGGCACAAATCGGCTGAGTGTTCCCCAATGTGGCGCACTTGAATATTAAATCTCAGAAAATTCTAAATTAACATTTAAGAATTTCTGTAAAGTTGATTTTATTCTGATAAACAATTATTATCTCTACTACTTTCATACCCAACTAGAAGCTACTTATCAGCAAATTATTTTCTATTTTTGGGAGACATTTTTAAAACCTTCACTGTGCACTTCGAAATAAATCGGAAAATCAAGCCAAGGCCAAAAAAAAAATAAGTCGGTCTCTGGTCAGCGCGCGCGTCGATTTTAATCATGCGCGTCGATCTTTTTTTTCCCAAAATGTTCCGCGGAAGCTCCAACAGCACCCTCTATTTCCGCACCTCCTCAGTTTTTTTTACCACAGAGCACCAAAGGAATAGGAAATTGCACCAAGGCAAATGATCGAAAGCACCAAGGCAAATTATGGAGGACACCAATGTACATGAGGACACCAAAAAAGCAAAATAGTACCCACCTTGTCTGTACAATCCAAGCTTGAAGAAGAAAAAAAAAAGAAGCCACGTGGCCGCGTCAATTCCGGAACTTTGGTCTGACCAGAGACCGAATATTTTTTTTTTTTGGCCTAAAATAACTTTTTCTTTTAACTTTGTAACTTTGCTAAGTACAGCGAATGCACTTGTCTTCTCATCAATGATCAGAATGGGAAGGGAGGGCGCTTGTACGTCGGGGAACGGAGCCACGGAGTTGCGGAGCTGCGGAGTCGCAGAGACTAGTCGCGGGGCACTGGAGACGCGGAGGCGCGGAGTCGCAGAGACGCGCGCCGCCGATAGAGGGCGCAATTCTCGGCGGTATTCTTTACAAAGGAAGGTTAAGGGAGGAGGACGACGGGGCACTGGAGTCGCGGAGACGCGGAGTCAGGGAGTCGCGGAGTCAGGGAGACGTGGAGACGCGGAGTCGCGGAGTCAGGGAGTCGCGGAGTCAGGGAGACGCGGAGTCGCGCGCCGCAGATAGAGGGCGCAATTCTCGGCGGTACTTTTTAGAGAACGAAGCATCCATATCCATTGTTAATTTCCTCGCAAAGGAAGGTAGGAGGGCGACGGGGCACTGGAGTCGCGGAGGCGCGGAGCCGCGGAGTCAGGGAGGCGCGGAGTCAGGGAGACGCGGAGTCGCAGAGACGTGCGCCGCCGATAGAGGGCGCAATTCTCGGCGGTAGTTTTTAGAGAACGAAGCATCCATATCCATTGTTAATTTCCTCGCAAAGGAAGGTAGGAGGGCGACGGGGCACTGGAGTCGCGGAGGCGCGGAGGCGCGGAGTCGCGGAGTCAGGGAGGCGCGGAGTCAGGGAGACGCGGAGGCACGGAGTCGCAGAGACACGCGCCGCCGATAGAGGGCGCAATTCTCGGAGGTAGGTCGACTGCGGCTCCACGCCTCCACGCACGCAGCCGTACGGAGGCGCGGATGTAGAGTGAAGTGGCCCTGCATTCTATAGTTGTACCGCCACTTTTTTCTTCATATCGTCTCAATGAAGGTCATTCATTGAAAAAAATGATGATAAAACAGGAATCTGGGACTTTGAGAAACATTTCCAATGTTGATGATAGGAAATACTTCGAGCTCCATAGACTTTGTACACAACCGCTGAACATTCTTCCCTCGGCGGTGCATATGGTACGGTAAAAACTAAAATTAAACAAAAATTATATTTTTAACTGGTGATATAATAAATCCATACCTAGGAGAGTTCCGATGACCCTAGCATTTTCGTCATTCCTTCTTTCGTAAGAATCTACAATATTGAAAAGAACTACAGGATGCACATGGCATTCTCTCGGTAAAACTGCCGCCATGTTGAGTGTGTGCCGTTTAACATATTAACAGCGCCCTCTAGAAAAAAAGAAACATCTTAATGAGCGACGTTTTTAAAACTTCGGCCTTGCTTCAGGAGTCGTCATGACTGTACAGCACAGCTGAAACGAAGCCGACGTTATGAAAACACCTCAAATGCGCTGCTCATTAAAGTTTTTTAGAGGGCGCTATATGTAATGAATATTCATTCTATGTAAGTAAGTAACAAATCATGTCAGGCCTTTCATAGAAACATTGACTTACTCGATCTATTCTTATTTTTGATTAGTCCACCTGTGCCGTGACCATGACGACACCTTGTTTATGGTGAAAGCGTGGAGTAAGGGATACCGGTTTGTTTACGGAAGTAGTGTTGGCTAAGTTTGTGTTTTGCACGCGTTTTTGGTTCACTGCAGTCAGTTTTTGCAGTAATTTTTGAGACAAAATGGCAGCGCATTTTAGTGCAAATCAGGTAGGAAACAAGTTTATGGGCTTGATTTGAACATTATGAAATTAAAAAAACAAATAAGTGCCCAGTTAACTGGGGATAAAAATGGAAGTAAATTTCGCAAGAAAAGTAGAAAATCGAGTCGACCCAAATCTGATTTTTTTTTTTTCATAATTTTTCTAAAAATAGGCCTACGTGATTTCTTACTTTTTGTTTCAATCTTATCGGTTATCCAACTTTTTTTTTACTTGAAGTATAGCTGGGGCCCATAGGCTTACACTAATTTCTCTTTCTTATTCATGGCTTTGAAGGATTTATTTTAAAGGGAAGTGCAATTAGTCACTGCAATATTAAACATTCTATTACAAATTCTCTCGATGGACGACTTCCATAAAAATAGAAGCAGGTGTTTTTTTTTATGTCAAACAACTCGACCGTTGAGACGGGTCCTACCGGTTGAGACAATTAACTCGACCGTTGAGACAACTCGACCGTTGAGACAACTCCACCCTTGAGACAACTCCACCCTTGAGACAACTCCACCCTTGAGACAACTCCACCCTTAAGACAACTCGACTCGGGACAATTCGACCGTTGCGACAACTCGGGACAACTTTACCATTGACACAAAAAACAAGTCGACTCTCTGGAAAAGCAACGCCGTGCCTTAGGTCAAATGTATGACAATAGGCCTAATTGCAATCAAACTGAAGCCATTTTACAAGTGGACTTTGCATTGGAGACAACAACGACTGTGCGAGCGGCGCGCGTGGTATTTTCCACGTAGCTAGAGTGCCCGTGAATGTTTGGGAATTTGCTAAATTAAATAAACTAAAATAAGCCAACCCCGTCCAGCAACACCAGCCCCATCAACCCGGCCCGATCCGACCGAGCCAAGCAGGCTACCCCCAACCTGTACTCAACACTCGTGGCTGGACACGGCAACAAAATCCCCATGGCAAATTTTTTTTTTTGGTGTTTCCCCATCCCGAACCCGACCGCCAAATGCTCTCGGTAACAGGTCATCTCGTACCTTGGGCAACTCGTACCTTGGACAACTCGTACCTTCAACTCGACGTCATTATACCGAGTCGTACCTTGGACAACTCGTACCTTCGGCAAGTCGTACCTTCAGTTAAGACGACTCGTGCCATCACGCGTAGGTCAAGTCGTACCGTCAGTCAGGATAATGATCCGAGGCTGAATAAAGTGGACCGTAACTCATTGAAAGTGGACTGCTTATTTAAAATAAAGGCGAATCTCTTTTTGGTATGGGCTCTCTTTCCCCCCAAAAGAGGAATTTATTTAGCGCGAAGCCGGCCGCAGCAGGTTACACGCAGTGTGCGCGGCATGCACAGGCCCACGCGGTACGTTTGCGGTCAACTCGCGGTAGCCATCCGTGCAAAGTGACACGGTTCTTGCGCCGCGCTGACCGGTTAATAATAATATGGACGTCTGTGCACGGTGACATTTTTGATGCAGTCTGCCGTTACATTTAGAGACTTGGGCTACGTGCAAATATTAAGGAACTGATGTTTTTATCCAAGATTCACGTCTTACCATCATTTTTGCAATGTATGACCATCATTGAGATGATATATATGAAGAAAAAAGTGGCGTCAGGTTGCAACATTTTTACTATTATTGATCCCTATAATCGCCTAAACTACTTTTTTTTATACGGAATATACATGTAATTCCATTAACAACAGAATGGCAGTGCCGCGCGCGCCGCGCAGGCCGGCCGCTTCCGAGTCACCGGCATCGGTACCGCGCACAACCGACCGCTGCTCGCGCCCTCGGAGGCCGGCCCGGCAGTCAATTTCATTGCCCTTCGGCAGGCCCAACGCGGAAAATCACGCTGCCTGGCAAAGCCATTAGATCTTGAATGTGGTTCTGTGGGATAAAAATAACTTTGACTTGAAAAGAATCGTATCGTTTCGGAGTCAAGGAACCACACACTGTTCATACTAAGTCACGCACGTACTACTTTTTATTCCGATGGTACGAGTCGTCTTAATTGAAGGTACGAGATGTCCAAGGTACGAGTTGTCCAAGGTACGAGATGTCCAAGGTACGAGTTGTCCAAGGTACGAGTTGACCAAGGTACGAGTTGCCCAAGGTACGAGTTGACTCGAAAGCATGCTCTCTAGACTCATTCTCTCTCAGCTTGGAAAACCCCAGCATATTGGGAGTCCCGGCCGAGCCAAACCCAATTGTATCCCGTCAAGCAACCCCAACCCAATGATCAAACCCGAAAACGGTGAAAAAATCCCCGGTATAGGGCCTACTATTTATGAAAATTCCCTACTAAACTATCCCCAGAAAAATTGCGAGTTGACTTGTCTCAATGCAAACGGGTGACTTGTCTCAACGGACGACTTGTCTTTCCATTTACTGCACATACGGTCGAGTTGTCCTGAGTCGAGTTGTCTCAACGGTCCAGTTGTCTGACCATCGTTTGTTTACGTAGTGGCTAGCTTGAGAAACTCCAGCTGACATGCTCATTAGGAATTCACATGTGACTTCCTGATGAGCATGTCAGCTGGAGTTACTCAGCTACGTAGTGGGCCATCGTTACGGCAGAACGCGATTTCAACTGCTATCGTCATGGAATTGCAAAATCACCATCGTGAATCTATCTGACATTTGTAACTACATATACCACCAGAATGCTTCGGTAGCTCGAGTGGTTAAACACTCGGAGATGGGGATCCGGGTTCAAATCCGTTGCCACGCTGTAAATGCGTTTTATTAAAAATAATTATAGGCCTAATACATGTAGTTTCCTTTAATCTCATGTTTTTAATCAAATCGTTCTTTTTATTTGTAATTTACCAACATCCTAGTACTTGTATTTCATAAACATTTGGTACTTTTGTTTTCCAATGTTTGCAACTGTTGTATTCCCTTTTACTTTTTTTAGGCAAAAATAGCAGTGTAGTATTCAAGCCTGTCATATTAAAGTCTTTTTATAAAGCCAATCACAAGTAACAGGATGAACAATGACAAAGGACTGCTTTTGTAACAGTTCATTTGAAAAGCTAGTGACTTGACTTGAGATTGAAGGACTTGTGATGGACTTGTGATGGACTTGTGATGGACTTGTGATGGACTTGTGATGGACTTGTGGAGGACTTGTGGAGGACTTGTGATGGACATGTGATGGACTTGTGATGGACTTGTGATGGACTTGCAGGGACTCGAATACAACATTGCAAAACAGTCCATAACAATTTGAATGAAGCCTATAAAAAAAGGAACCATAATTATTTTCACTAATATGCAGTGTACTTTCCTATTGCATTTACAGTACGAGCAAGCGTTTGACAGCAAGAGACTCCAAAATTGGCAGCTCCCACATACATATAAAGAGGTGAGACTGATGAATTGGATCTATACTTTCTTTCTCTGTCCAATCCAGGAGATCAAAGACCAGGGCCCAATTTCACGGCGCTGCTAAGCACACGATTTGTCTATTTCATGGAGACCGTAAGCATAAGGAGACCGTAAGCATAAGCACAGCAAAAGGCACGCTTACTTCAGAGGAAAAATTTGCTCAACTTAGTGACGTACATGTAACAATAGAAATCTCCATGCATGCAGCGCCCGTTAGCACTTTCTGCTATGTAAGCACAACTTTTCTGCTAACTGGTAAGCAGCCCTGGGCCCAATTTTAAGGTGCTGCTTAGCACACATTTTTCTGCTAACATATAACAGTGCCTCCATCTATTTCACTGAGATCTTATCTCCCCCCGCCCTTTCCCCATCTATTTCGCGGAGACCAGAGGGTATCGATCAGGTTGGCGTAGCGACCCACATATGTTCCTACGTTCCTCGCCTTCCACTGCTCCACTGATCGAGTCCAAGTCCTTGACTTGAGTGATACAACTCTCAATGTAGAAAATCTTTTGAGGCAATACATCCATTCAAAATTGTTATTAGTCAAATATAACACTTTCATTGATAATCTGGGTTTCATTAACATCCCCCACAATATTCATTCAAGAAAACATCCTACTGAGAGTTCCAAATTTGCAGACTACATGCTAATTGTTTGAGCTCCTTTTTCATCCAGAGGCCGTCGCGTTATGAGGGCTTCACCCAAATCATCGCCAACGACCGGGGTCACCTCCTGGAAGGGGTGCCCAAGTCCACGGAGAACCCATGGGGGAAGTTTGTGGGCACCTGGGACATGCCCCTCAATGTTCCCGGCAACGTGACCACGTTCATGGCCCGCTCGGACCCGGCTGCCAGGACCATCGTCCGGGGACGGATGGAGCATGCAGAGTTCATGAGGCAGGCCGCTGGCTCCCCCGTCAAGCAAGCCCAAAAGGTGAGTTGATCGACTGACAAGTCAGACAGAAACAAGGGAGCAACTCTTTTAAACCATGGAAGGGTTCCATTCTGTTTGGGTCTTGGCCTTGATGACAGAGTTGGTATTATCATAAGTCATCGCATCAGTGCAACAAGGTTGTGACTCGATTCTGTAACAAAGTCGTATCGCTTGCCAATACGCGTTTTCACGTAATACGGGTTTCACGTAATACGCGTTTCGCGTACATGACGTCCCACGCCATTTTAGAAGATATGACCTTGTTGCACGGACACAGCGAAGTTGTCTTTAAACAAACTTTCTTGATCCTGATCGGTCAATCCGTGGTGAATACGCTCCGTGCAACAAGGTCATATCTCGCGTATCGCGACGTCCATTGACTTTGTGTGTACATCTGGGTTATTTTAAGCGAGATACGACCTTTTGACATTGAAACTCACGTTTCACGTACATGACGTCCCACGCCATTTTAGGAGATACGACCTTGTTGCGCGCACACAACAAAGTTGTTTTCAAGCAAACTTCCTCGATCCTGATTGGTTGATCCATGGCAACGAGAGTGTGGTATTATCCCAGATACCACGGTCCATATCGCGCTCCGCGCATCACGCTATTCTAAGATGCGCAAACCATTCCTCTTGAATGAACACACGATAGGATAATCATCAACAAATTTGTGTACAGTGTGCGTATTCCATCTGTACTGTTTGTCAAGCTTGCTTGAAGATAAAATCATTAACTGCCCCTCGAAAGCACAATTTACGCCCCTCTCGCAACATTAAAACTGTTCCCCTCTCAAGATGGAAAATTTGCCTTTAAAAAAAAAATAGTGCTCCTCACGTGAATAAAATGGTCACCGAACTGGCCATCAATAGCAACAGTGATAAAAAAAGTTCCCTTTGCAAAGGCCCAACTAGTCAAATTCAAGGGCGAACCCAGAGAGGGTACTGCTGGGGGTGTGCCGGAGGCCGAAGGGCTCTCTCAAGTGAAAAATTACCTTACATTGTATTTGAGAACAATACGGCTATATTGAGACCATTTCAGGAATAGCCTACACTGTAATTTTTGGAGTAAGGGAATTCAGATTTTTAAAACTTTTAATGCAAACATTTGTAAAAGTGTATCTCAAATTCAATGTTGTGAGTCAATTTTTTTTCTGTGTAACATGTATTCCTTGCAAGATGAACGCAAATAGTTTCACAAAGTTTTCTCCTCTTCCACATCAATAAAAGATGCCTTTTTTCTGAACAAGTGCACCTATTTGGTGATGCCCCCCCCCTCCCCCCCCCCCCAGTTTGAAAAGCGTTCCACACCCGCTTACAGAGAATACATGAATTCAGCCAGTGTCGTCAGCGTATTTATCTTCTTTGTTTCTCCTGCTTTCTCCAGGCACCAAGTCCCAGGAAGGCCTCTCCCAGTCCACCCAAGACCCCTCCTCCTTCTAAATCACCTCAAGACAGACCCCACAGACCATCGCCGGCAGAAAACGTGGAAAACACCTCCGCTTCTCCAAGACCGGCATCGAAATCGCCGCGACCAGAGGCAAATTAACACATTTCTTTTGCATAAATCCACCTGACCAAGTCCAGAAATTGTTAACCGTCGTAAATAGAAGTGTGAATAAGGAGGAAAGAAATCATGGACAGAATGTTGCATGCGGACGCCACTTTTTTCATCATATAATATCACCTCATTGAAGGTCAGTCATTGCAAAATTGTTGAAAAGACACATGAATCTGGGACTGAGAAACGTTTCCAATTTTCTTAGGAAATACTTTGAAAAATGCACTCAATTCACACGATTCACAATGCAGTGCGCCACCAAGAGTTTGCCATGGAGATTCCATATTTCAAGTTTACGGTCGACAAAACACGGCCCTTTTGAATAAGTGTCAGTAGACAACTTGAGCTAGTTTGTTATAGATTGAGGCATAGCGTTCTGCCGCCATACAAAAAACACCATATGTGATGCAATCAAGCTACATGAGTCGTTTGTCGGGAACTTTCATTTGGGGATACAGGCAAAAATAGGGCCACTTCATCACATCACTTCATCACATCTCTTGATGTTTCAACTTCCATAATTTTTCAACTAAAGATGGTATCAGCATGCGGTTTTCACAGCAGCAATGCTGAGATTGTGCTCTTTTCAAATCTGTACTAAAAAAAATTTGACCGGGGTCGACAAACGACTCATTTAGCTTGATCGCATCACATATTAGTGATCACAAGAAAAAAGGGCAAATATATACTCCAATCATAGGCTTACGAAACTACTGGTCGGACAAACTAACAATTTCAAATGTCCTTCACTGCGAAATTGTCGACCATCTCCCACAATGCACTGGGAACAATTAACTCTCCATCGCAAACTCTTGATTATGCACTGCATAATGTGAATCGCCCAAATTCTCCGTGGACTTTGCACACAACCAAAGAAGCGGCGTCTGGATACTACATTCTTTCCAAAATCTTTATAGTTATAATAAATGTCGACAGCAAATGGAATTAGAGTCTATTTATGCTGTCAGTTCTGACCACAGTCTCTGCTTGAAATGGAATAAAAACTTGTGTACATGTACTTGCTACAAATATACAGGCCAGGTCATTCAAGGCAAAGGCTGTCCACGTTAAGTACACGGAGGATGTTTATTTGAATAGCTTGAATTATCTTGCCTGATAATAAATTCATTCATTCTTTTTTTTATAAAACTCCTTTAAAATAGTTTAATACTAATGCATAATTGGTTCAAGATTCAAACCTTTTATCATTTTTTTTTGTACAGGCCACAAAAAAAAAGTAAATAAGGCCAAAACAAAAAAAATATTCGGTCTCTGGTCAGACCAAAGTTCCGGAATTGACGCGGCCACGTGGCTCTGTTTTTCTTGGATTGTACAGACAAGGTGGGTACTATTTTGCTTTTTTGGCATCCTCATGTACACTGGTGTCCTCCATAATTTGCCTTGGTGCTTTCTATCATTTGCCTTGGTGCAATTTCCCATTCCTTGGTGCTCTCTGGTAAAAAAAAATTGAGGAGGTGCGGAAATAGAGGGTGCTGTTGGAGCTACCGCGGAACATTTTGGGAAAAAAAAAAAGATCAACGCGCATGATTAATATCGACGCGCGCGCTGACCAGAGACCGACTTATTTTTTTTTTTGCCTAACCAAAAGAACTGCCACGCAGGCATCTACTTTATGATATGTATTTCTAGGAACTTAATTGACTCTTCTAAGTGAGTATTCAGTTTTAAATACCATGTGTGTAGTGTCCGTGAGCTATTTGGGGGTAATGTATGTTATTTTGCGGTATTCAAATGCTTGATTTAAATTGTCGTGTAAATAAAAAGAGTAGTATCAAAGTCATTTGATTGGCTGATATTCCATTGATTTAGATGTTTCATTTGGATTATGGAAGGTTTGTGCTGTACGATTCAAGACGTTGTGTATTGGATTCGCAATAATCACGAGGGCGTTATGAGGACGTCCAGTGAACAGCCCTTTTGTCCACGACAAGGAAAATAATGTTCAAGAAGGGAAAAACGGGGAGGGGAAATAAGCCTTTTCGGAGTTCCAACTGCGCATTCATAACCTATGACAACGCGCATTGTTTGTCTCAAATGGCCTTTGACATCATCGCGCTACTGACTTTACAAAAAGGCTGTTTGTGCATTGTGGGTACTGTCAAAGGGCATTTGAGACAAACAATGTGCGTTGTCACAGGTTACGAATGCGCGCAGTTGGAACTCCGAAGAGGCTTATTATTAGAATGTGCGCAATTAACCATCATCATTTCTATTTTAATAACGTCCATTTTTCCCATGCTGCGGGGTGAGCAGGCGCGGTTCTACGGGGAGGCTAGGGGGGGGGGCTATAGCCCCCCCAAAATTTTGTCTAGCCCCCTCAAAAATAAATTCCGTAAAAAAAAAAATTGCATTAGCAAAAAGAAGGATTGTGATAAACATGCGAACGGTCTCCCCCTAAAGAAGAAATAGCCGTTACAAGGGTGCATTAGTTAATATAGTGTGAATGATTTTAGGATTTTATTGGCGCTCCCCATTGAAAATATGGCATTTCTGCTGTAGTAAGCTCAACTTTTCCGCTGTTAAGCAGTGCCATGAAATTGATCCCAGGTGTTCATCAAATGCTACACCTGAGCAGGTGTTTATCAAATTCTACACCTGTACAGGTGTTTAACAAATTCTACACCTGTGCAGGTGTTCATCTAATTCTATACCTGTACAGGTGTTCTTCGAATTCTACACCTGTACAGGTGTTCATCAAATTTTACACCTGTACAGGTGTTTATAATCTACACCTGTGCAGGTGTTCATCGAATTTTACACCTGTACAGGTGTTTATAATCTACACCTGTGCAGGTGTTTATCGAATTCTACACCTGTGCAGGTGTTCATCTAATTCTACACCTGTACAGGTGTTTATCAATGCCCTAGGCATGCTGACTTTTTCCCTCTAATAAATGCACTACAGAAAAAGCAGGATGTGCCTCGCCATATTTTTTGTCATCACAAAACCCCAGAAAAAGGGCTCAGTTGTAGTCTCTATAAATGAATGAACTCCATTTTCATCAACAAGAAAAATACAGCCTTTATTCTTGGCCAACAGCGTGTTTTCCACTGAAACAGAGGGTCCGTTATTCATCCAGGAAAAGAAACCCTCAGGTTAGAAGTCTGTTCAACTCTGACATGAGGCTGGATTTCTCGATGGTCTCCCATGTCCTCCCTGCGTAGTGAAACCTGCAAATGTCAGAAAATAACGGTCTTTCAATATCAAAGAGACAGAACACCATACGGAGGAGTACAGCTTGAGCTCACAGAGTCCAGGCGCAGATCCAGGGAAAACCCCCCCCCCCCCCCCCCCTTGCGAAAATTCCTGGATCCGACCCTGGTGTCTGTTCACTTTTCAGGAAAGTCTTGGTTTCCTTACAAAATAATTAAGATAAAAATGGAATAAATGCAGAATCTCTACACTCAGATAAACAGTTTTTTTTTATTTGTAGTGTGAGGACTTTAAAGGGAATGTACATCATTGACTTTAGCTGTAATTTTCAGAAACGAACTATTTGAGGGGTTAGTATAGATCAAATATTGGTACACTGACATGTTTGAGGTTTTGTGTTCGAAAATGCTGGAAAAACCAAGAAAAACACAAATGGTGGAGTAATCTGGTTCCCTGATAGTCAGGTGGCTTAGATTTAATTTTCGACAAGATCGTGACCGACTGGTCCAAAGCACCAAACTTGGCAGATAGATTCTTATAGCCCTAGAGAAGATATTTAGAAGGGGTGACACCTGAAATTCTTTCGGGAAGAGTCCCTAATTTGCATAAATCGTTAATCCCTGTCGTGTAATATATTTATTCCCATATTTGGGTATATTTCTATTTTTTTATTTTGTTGAAATTTGTATTTTGGGGATTCTACTTACATATCTTTACTTAAATGACATTTTCCAAAGCATATAAGTGACTGAATAATTATGAGGACATAGTAACGATCCAAAATGGCTACTATTATGCCCTAAAATTGCGCGCATTTACCTTGTCTCCAGATAGCATCAATTAGTTTTGCCAAACATCAGCACTGATGAACTTCAAATTCACCAAGTAGCTTACTGGTACAGTTTCCCTAATAAAGCCTTATGAAAAATCATATGAACAATGATAACATTGTGATATTTAGCCCAGAAAACAAAAACTGGGAAAAAACGAGGTGTCCATAAATTAGGCTAACAAGTAGGTGAAGGGTTGCCTAACATGGGAGACTGGAACAAGTTCAAGGAAATTCCCAAACTTATTGTTGAGAAAACGTTTTGGCCTAGACAAAATTATTGTAAACAACAATAATCTTTTATTTGGGGGGATTTCGTTGAACATGTTCAAGTCCCCACGTTACCCTTCCCGTAGTAGCCAAATTTAAGGACACCACATTTTCTCCCCTTTTTTTGTCTTTTGGGCTAAACATCAAGATGTTATCAATGTTCACATGATTTCCCACTTATTTTTGTTAAGGTAACTATGCCAGTAAGTAGCTTTGTGAATTTGAAGCTCATCAATTCCCACGTTTGGCGCGTTAAATGCACGTAACTTTAGGGTAAAATAGTAGCAATTTCGGTTCTTTACTATGTCCTCCTAATTTTTCCCGATGCACAGTAGCATACACGAGTCCTGTTTATTACGTCACAATTTACTGTGTTTTGTTTGCTGCCCGCAACGACGATTTTACACGGTTGCACGTTCGGGTTGAAACTAGACCTGAAAAACAGCTCTCAAAAGTACCTTTTGTACTCATTTCATGACAGAAACAATAGTGGTTTTTATTTCATAACACCTTAGGCTACATATACCCGAAAAATGACGGAAATGTCTTCGAGCATTCCACAACCTCTTTAACATTTGCCTGTCCACTACAACAAATGCGATCAAAAGTTCAACTCAATTGAGGATCAGTCACTTTTAATCTGGCAAACATTGATTCATTTTGGAGATTTTATATATTTTAGGGGGAGTGTGTGGCCTAGTGGTTAGGATTCGTGACTCGTGATCAGAGGGTCCGGGGTTCGAATCCAGCCGCTGGCCATATATTGTGTCCTTGGGCAAGGCACTTCACCCCCACTTGCCCCTCTCCACCCAGGAGTATAAATGGGTACCGACATTAGCTGGGGAGTAATCCTGCGATGGACTGGCATCCCATTCAGGGGGAGTAGAAATATTCTCAGTCGTTTCATGCCAAGGAAACCGGAGATAAACACCGGCCTGATGAGCCACATTGGCTCGGGACAGACTTTAAAAACAATATATATATTTGAAACAATCTATAACACCGAAAAGTAATATAAGCTGTAAAAAGAAAAATTGAGGGAATAGATAATGTGCCTGGCTGATTTTATACAGCCGTTTCAGAGGCCCGGACGCTGTTAATGGCCCGAGCTGAAGGCGAAGGACATTGTTAAAGACCAGTTCTAAAAGTACTTGTATAATACTGGCCAAGCACATATATTTATTCCCATTCATAAAAACCTTTGAGTCACAAAGTAAAAAGTCAAATACAAATTTCTAAGGATTTTGTTCAACAAGTTTTTTTACTTCATGTTTTTTTGAAACACCCCTCTTGCTATGTTATGGTATTTGCCTCTTGCCAGTAGTCGTAAACATCTCCTTATATGGATATCGGCACGCCTGTGGAACAAACTGTGCGATGTCGGCTGGTGCAAGTGTAAATTTAGGACTCCTGAAATACGGACTCATTGGTATAGTATTGCCCAAGTTTAACCAATAAAAGGGTATTAAAAAGGGACCAGATTTCATAGGAGTCCAAATTTCATGTGACACCGGAACAGGCTCTCGACCAATAGAATGGGTAAACTGTCTTTTAGTTATTTAAACACTCCCCAACACCCCCTCTGCCTAAAAGCCAGAAGCAAAACAAAAGCCACTGATGGGAGCATCTATTACAAGTCCATTAAACTATTGACCGATCTTCAAGATGAAGGAATATTTGAAGGGCAATAAATTGTCACCATCAAAAAATTTGTTGACAAAAAAACCTGACCAGTTCTTTTCAGTTAGCGGAGAGGTGTGAGTGAGGAACTACTGGCAGCACCGTAGATCTGGTTCCGGAAAGACTTGACGAGGAGGTCCACACTGGGATGGCCTTGATATGAGACCGGTAACAGACTCAGCAAGCTTGACTGATCTGATGAAGTGAAAAGAAAAAGATTCATACAGCATTGCAACATGTTTACATTAAAAACCCTTAATTGTCATTCACTGTCGGTCATCAAAAAGAACCGCATTGGTGCGCAGATTACTTGGATAAGATGCACAGATTATAACATTTCTTGGGCGGTTGCCAGGGACCGCCCCGTGCAGGTTAAAAAAAAAAAAAAAAAAAACATTAAAGGTATTTAAACAACATTTGCAAACGTCAAAAAACAAACCTACCAAATTTTATTAAATCTTGATGAAGTGAATAATAATCTCAAGCACCATGTGAAATCTTAACACCTGGTGTGATGTCATTTCAAGAAAAGTGGAATTTTTGTATCAATTTCCAACGATGGTCGGCTGACCATCGTTAGGAAAAAAACAGCAAACACAAATGCTATATATTACCTGTAAGTAGAGAAAAACAGATTATCTGTACATAAGAACCATAACAAGTAGATCTGGCAGACTCTAAAGAAAACGACTTAAGACACACGTGAGACAACAGGAAGAAAATCCTGAAGATCACCAAGCTTACCATCAGTGGATGAATTGCAGGAGAGAGTGAATGATTTTCTGTTTTTCTCTTTTTTTTTTAATTTTTAACGGAAGCTTACCATCAGTGGATGAATTGCAGGAGAGAATGGATGATTTTGTATTTTCTATTTTTTTATATTTTAATGGAAGCTTACCATCAGTGGATGAATTGCAGGAGAGAGTGAATGATTTACTGTTTTTCTCTTTTTTTTTCATTTTTAATGGAAGCTTACCATCAGTGGATGAATTGCAGTAGAGAGTGGATGATTTTCTATTTTCAATTTTTTTTATTTTAATGGAAGCTTACCATCAGTGGATAAATTGCAGAAGAGAGTGGATGATTTTCTATTTTCTATTTTATTTCATTTTTAATGGAAGCTTACTATCAGTGGATAAATTGCAGAAGAGAGTGGATGATTTTCTACTTTCTATATTTTTTTAAGTTTAATGGAAGCTTTCTATCAGTGGATGAATTGCAGAAGAGAGTGGATGATTTTCTATTTTCTATTTTTTGAATTTTAATGGAAACTTACCATCAGAGCATGAATGCTCAGAGGCCGCGCGTGTCCAGATGTGGCAGAACAAACAAGTTGACATCAAGCGGCAGGTTTTTTAGGATTCAAACCAGGCATCAGTTTGGTGTGGGACAAAGATGCTGTACCTGTGTAAATGCAAGGACATAAGCCATAAGCCCCAGCCGCTTCGCACGAGGGCAACAATTAACAGGTCTCCCAACAAGTTCATCACAAGTCAGCCATATAAACTGAAAGCAATTGAGGTAAAGTGTTCTACTTGTGAGTAGAATTGAAAGCAATGAAATAATCAAGTTTACACCAGTCTGCTCGGGTGACGTCATCATGGGTCATGTGACATTTCATGGAACATGTTAGTACACATAAACACGCAAAAGAAATCATAATGCGGAAAATCCTATATATGCTCTATTTATGAAACAGAAGATCTAGTTTTCTTTTCTTTTTTTAAGCTTCTTTTCTTCTTTTCATATGCTAAAAAAGAACTTTGTCGTATTTATGTAGAACTGGAAAGTGGTCGGTTTTCTCTCATGCTTCAATGTGTCTTGCATTTTGATTTGTGCATGTCGATATACTAGCACGATGTCGTCATTAAGTTGGAACCTTGACTTGTCTTAACTTATTCTTTAAAATGTTTATAGTGATAGAAACGTGCTACTTTTGTAGCACGTTTCCGACGCAATACTTAAATGAACATCTTCATCCCTTAAAAATTTGTTAAAGAGCCATTTTCCCTTGAAATTACTGTTTACTAAATTTTCACGGATTTTTCAACATATTAAGAGTCCGTGAAAACACCCTTTAAGAAGGTCCTTTGTTTACCCATGGAGACAGACTGAGTGTACCGTTATGTATAACCAATGATAATCCTCAGTGGACAGTGTCATTAAAAAAACGTGAAAATACCCTTACAGGATTAGTCCTATAAGCCTCATGTAAATGTCCGTGAAACATCTAGGATTCTTTTCATGGAGAAATTGTAATGAATTTTTAACGGATGAAGATGTTCATAGTATTTCCACTGAAAAAAAACATACAACTACATGCACATGAAGTACAAAGTTACAAATTAAATTCAAAGTAAATAACTTTTCTCCCATGTGTGTAAAACGACTAACACATACTGTATGGACTGTGACAAGTCTAAAAAAAATTCCTAAAAATAGCACAATACCCTGTGTAGGGAAATTCCCAGATGAGAAATAATACGATATAGTACATATTGCACACGCACCGCGGTAACTTCCCAGTACAGCATTACTAATCTCATTTCCCAGTTCTGTGAACTATGGTGTGCAGCGTGCGTGGCTCCATGTTATTTTCACGGTTATTTTTGAGAGGATAAATAAAAGGTAAGTTACAAACACATGAAGATGTACAATAAAGTTACATGTCCCATGCTAGCTTACATGTACATGAAAGATAATTGGGTCACATTCCAGAAATTTGGGGGTCCAAAAGTGTGCGTTTTTCTGTGTCCATTTTAGTACACATGACCTATAAATTTGCCAAAAGTATCATTCAAATTAACTTCACACCATTGTTTCATTTGTTTGGCAGGGGGGGGGGTACTTTGCTCACTCTTCGAGACAGCTAAAAAAATGTGTTAAAAAATCTTACACATGTCAGATGTAACAGGGACACACAAAATGGACCTCAAATTTATGGAATGACCCAATTGTTTTTCCAGTCATGATGAAAGGTCTGTATACCTGTATGGCGCCTTTCAAATTATCCTATTTAGTACATTTTGGAATGCACAAACTCAGATAATTATAAGCAGTTGTACATTGACAATATCATTGATGAGGATGTAGTAAGTTGAGTTCATGAGCCAGAGTAAAAGTGGAAATGTGGCTCATGTACATTGCAGAGAGCAAAGGAAAAGACCAGAACAATTTTTAGATTTTTTTTGAGAGTTTTTTTTTTCTTGAAAGCTGGGCTCCATTTACATCATGTACATGTACATGTACATGTAAATCATCTCTCTTTTCTGAATATTTTGTAAACCCTTCATGTAAAAATGAAATAAAAATATTTTCAAAAAAGACTTCACGTCACACTTATACCGGCTGATGAAGCAGTATGAACCCATACTGAAACAGAGTTCACTGATTTTTGTGACGAGTCGAGTCAAGCCATTTTAAAGATGTCACTCGAGTCAAGTCGAGTCATTAGGCCAAAAAAAAAAAGTCTCCGGTTTCTGGTATGCGCGCGCGTCGCCGTAGCCATGCGCGTCGGCAAAATGAAAAAGTTTTTTTTTTCAATGAAAGATGATGTCTCAAAACCGCCAAACTCACTGGTTTGCCTGGAATCCTGGTGCTGCACAATTTTAACGTGTTTTTAGATTGGGTTATGGTCGAGAATAAGCTTTATGTGGCCTCTCTGGAATCCCATATATTTGCACTAAGTTTAGTCAGGCACCATTTGCAGTCATCAGCTGACATTTGAAGCAAAAAAATCAGGTAAAAAAAAAAAAGCGCGTCGCCGCGCCACTTTTGGGGAAAGCTCCATACCAGAAACCGGAGACTTTTTTTTTTGGCCTTAGGTAAAGAAGGTCGAGTAGAGTCGAGTCGAGTCACAGTGTGTAGTCGAGTCAAGTCAATGGAGTCGAGTCGAGTCAAGTATTAAAGCTCGAGTCAATTTGAGTCACAAATATTTGAACAATATACAATAAATAAACAGAAGAGAGAAGTCATTTTTGGGGCTTTTTTAATTTTACATTCGGGCTATTGCATGTGGTGACACCACATTAGACTCTTAATGAAAATAAAAAGTAGGTGCCAGCTGATTGCCATTCAACTAATAGGGACACTGATCAAACCACGTCTACATTTTTCGCGAACATTCTAAATTGACGTGAACAAAACCAGCATCCGCGTATGGAGTCATTGCAAATATTTTTCACAAAGTTTTGCTTTTATTTTTTGGACTCGAGTCTTATTAGTTTTCCTTGAGTCGAGTCGAGTCATTCTGATGAGGGACTCAAGTTGAGTCAAGTCATTTGCTCGCAGTGACTCAAGTTGAGTCAAGTCATTTGCCCTCGAGAGTCGAGTCACCAAAAATTGTGACTCGAGTCGAGTCATTGACTCAAGTCATTACAACTCTTTACTGAAGCACAGTTTTCAGATCTCTTAAAGGCAAAGAGGAAGACAATGTTTGTAAAAATCAATTTCTTCGGTCAACAGATTTCAAGATGGCCGAAGTGACCACAGAAGATGTCCTGGACAAGATCAGTCAGGGTCACCTGGAGTGCACAATTTGCATCCAACGGTTCAACCGTCCCAAAATCCTCGACTGTCTCCACAGCTTTTGCCTTGGATGCCTTGAGGATTACAAACGCACCCAATATCCATCAAGCCCTAAACTTCCATGCCCACTCTGCCGAAAGGAAACTGTCCTACCCGACAACGGAATTGCTGGTCTTTCCAACTACTTCGCCATGACTGCACTGGTCGAGGAATTCACGCACCAGGAAAACCTTGTGAAGAGGCAAAAGTCAAGGATAGTGTGCGAGGTTTGTGAAGATGACGAGGCAATTTCCAGATGCACAGACTGCAAAGAGTACCTGTGCTGCGAGTGCCAGAGAGCACACCAAAGAGCAGTGAAGACGAAGAAGCATGAGATTGCCACCCTGGATGATCTGCGGTCGGGGAAGGCAACCTTCAAGAGCAAGATGCGAGATGAGGTACCTAAGTGCAAGAAGCACACTAACCAAGAGGTGTGCTTCTTCTGCAATACCTGTAAGGTCTTGATCTGTGCTGTCTGCACCGCTCTAGACCACTGCAAACCATCTCATACCTACGAGGACATCGAGGAAGCAGAGATGTCATTCCGAGACAAGGCCAAGAGTCTGCTGTCGAAAGCAAAGGACAGCAGGCGCAAGTTCCTTGTGGCAAAGAATTTCGTCGACAGTGCATCCCAAAGACTTGAACTGATGCTTGCCGACACCTCAGCTGACATCTCACAGAGAGCGGATGAGGAGGTTGTGAGGATACGAGAGATGGAGGCCAGCTTAAAGGAAGATGCTGCCAAAATCGGACAAGAGAAAGCGGAGTTGTTGAAAAATGCCCAGGAGTCTTTCTCCGAGAACCTGAAGTGGACACAAGGCACCTTGGAGATGGCTGAGGCCGTTTTGGATCAGTCCAGCCGTTTTGAGCTCCTGGAGTTGATGGAGAAACTTCTCTGCAACTTGAACGATATCAACGAGTTGGATGTTCCATGCCCAGAGCAAAATCTGTCCCCCTTCCTCGCATTCAAACCAGTACCAGTGAAGAAAGTTGCACTTGGGAAGCTTCTCCTGAAAGAGAAGTGGTCTTTGAAGGCGCACTTTGATGGCAAGGTCACTTCTGGCGAGGTCACAAAGGGGTATCGGTTCAAAATGGCTGCCAGCATTGCAACTTTCACCAACAGCGACATAATTGTTGCAGATTTTGAAGACTACAAACTCCATCTTTTCACTCCACAAGGCCAACTGAAGTTTGAATTTGTGGGACCCGGGGACCAACCCGAAGGGCAACTGTTCAATCCATATGACCTTGCCGTGACTCAAGATAACAAGTTGGTGGTCATTGATAATTTGCTCGTGAAAGTCTATGATGCACCTGACACACAACATATCAAGTTCCTGTTCAGCTTCACACCACCTTCGGAGTCAGACGGCAATGAAACAGGAAGTGATCTCTCCTGCATTGCAGTTGACGAAAAGAACCGCATCGCAGTTGGCGATGCAAAGAGAAAAATCATCTCTCTACACGAGATAGACGGCTCCCTGATCAGCAAAGTACCAGCCGAGCTGCTGGACAGACGTCTTTCCATAAGCAACAAGGAGCGACTCATCTTCAGCAATTATCAGAAAGCCAAGTTGGTTTGCATCGACTTCGACGGACAGGAGGTGTTCTGTGTAGATACCGTCGTTGACGGTAAACAGCTGAAGCCAGCCGGGATGTGCTGCGATCGTCACGGCGATATCTTTATCGTTCTCCACGCCAGCGACGAGCATGGAGCCGGGGAGATCCACCGCTACAGTGCGGAGGGGGCCTACATGGGACGCATCGCTGCTGGTCTGAGGAATCCGCTGGGATTGACACACACTCCGGCTGGTGAACTTGCAGTTGCTGATATGCTTTCGGTGAAGATTTACCATAAAGATTGACAGAAATAACAATATCTAGGGATGCAGTCT